AAAATATTCATCTGTTTTATATTGAATAAATGTGGTTACCATGGAAACATTCATTCAATGGTAAAAGTTAAAAAAGCCGACTAGAGACTACAAATTAGATTACTGTTATTTTGAGAAACAAGAGAAAACACATCTTAAGCTAATAATAAGACAAGGTGACATCTTCCTAGCAGCTGAGGTCTAACTGATTAGATTTATTTTCACTATTCCATTACTCCTAGTATCTTAAAATGTCAAAATTAATTTGACCTCAATGATCATAAGATGACATTTCAAAATGAATTTGATGCTAATTTCAATGTCAATCTTGGGCAAAACTGCTTTAGTATATTGGTGGCCATGGCAACACAGCAGCCCCCAAATCGCGTTCAAAATACAACAGAAATTCGTAGCCACGGCCAATGATTTGCTAACATCGTGCTAAAATTTGCGAGGAAAACCAGTATATATTAATTTTATTGTGAAATAGTGGCAAGAAAATGACAAAGGTGAAAAACACGTTGGAAAAGTGAATGCAAGGGTGCTATACACGTATACACACTGATGTGAGTTACTCGTAAAACATAGTGAAATATACTGTAGAATACTTTATTTTCGCTTGGAATTTATTTTCGCTATTTTCGCTGAAAGGATGATTCCGTGAAAATAAAATCCGGTGAATATACATTTTTTCCTATATTTTACATTAATCGCATCAAAAATCAGTGAAAATAAATTCCAGCAAAACGCCCAAAAAGCATTTTCAGCGAAAATAAATTCCAGCGAAAATAAAGTATTCCACAGTATGTAGCAAATTTAACTCAATGCAAGAATTGACCGAATCTTAATTTAGCTAAAGTGCCAACAATCACATTGTGTGAGTATACTTTAAATTAGTGACATCTTGTATTAGCGAAATTACAGATTAGCTAGATTTGCTAAAAAGACGTTTTACAGCATGTGCCTTACTTGTTTACACAGCTGCAATATTTGAAACTAATCGTGCGTACTGTCTTTTGAGTGTCCCTTCCCCTTATGTATTATACCGATGCAGAGTTCATTGTCATGACTATTCCAAATCATTTTTCTCTTTTTTTTCCATTTTTTTTATAACAAATGAAATGCAACACTCCCTTTTTTTCCACAGTCTACTCAAAAAAAATCTTTTTATACCATGTTCTGATCTAAAACACACTAATACAAAAAAGGATTTTATTGGATTTTGATTATTAGTACTGCGGCAGCCATCTTGGACTCAAAGGCAAGCTTTGAGTGATTTTTTTCATGATGTCGAGAATACTTTTCAAGCAAAAGTTCATTCCATCAACTACACATTTTTAACTGTAAATTTCATGAATATATCGTGACATAATTTTATCTTAAACTGTAACGGCACTGGAATTATCCAACATCCTTGATATCTCACTAAATGATGGCCTCTGCTTTGGATCTAAGTCCCAGCATTTCATCATGATTCTATAAATTTGGTCCGGACAGCCTTCCGGTGCCTCCATCCGGTAACCTCTTTCGACATGAGCCACTACATCCGTTAACGGCTGAAAGGAAGATGAAGTTTCTTAAAAAATTTATTATGCATGGCACAGTCCCAGTTAGTTATCAAATTTAAGATATATAGTTTTGTTTATAGTAATATAGATGGAATATAAACATGTCAGGAATATGATTATGATGATTGTTTAACATTTAAATGATTGTCATTTGTATCTGATCGTCAAACGAGTATTTAGAGATATTGCTCTGAAACAGCATTAATTATAAAAACAAAATCAGCCATTTTGAATACATGTATAATGAATATATAAAATTTGAACATAGTCAGTCAAAGCATGTCAGAAATATGGCTCTAGAAGCCCATTCTTAAAAACAAAATGGCCACTAGTCAGCCATTCTGAATCCGATCTGAAAAAAAATAATAATGTGCATCAGGAATCCGTAATGTCTAATGTATGTACCAAGTTTGAACAAGATCCATCCATAAATGCTTAATATTCGATGACTTTTTAGCACAAAAATGGCCACTATTCGGCCATTTTTAATAGGATCGTCAAACCAATATATCTGTATATCTATGACATGATGTATAATGAATATTTAAAATTTGAACATAATTAATCAAAGCAAGCCAGAGATATGGCACTTGGACCACATTCATTAAAACAAAATGGCCGCCAGTCAGCCATTTTGAATCTTATCTGAAAAACAAAATGATGTGCTTCAAGGTCCTACAATGTCCACATATATACCAAGTTTGAACAAAATCCATCTGTAAACAGCAGAGAAATGCTTGATTTTGATGATTTTTAGAACAAAAATGGCCGCAATTTGGCCATCTTGAATCAGATCGTGTAACAAATTAATGTGCATATGTATAATATCATGTATGATGTATGTGTGAAGTTTGATTGTGATTGGTCCAGGCATTTCTAAGATACAGGTCTGGACCCACGCACAGAAGCACAAACACGCAGGTCAAAACATAAGTCCCCGTTTTTGGACTGCGTCCGAACGAGGACTAAAAAAAACAAAACTAAAAATATGAGAGACATGATTATCCAAGTTGTGATGCAGGATTGAAACTTGTACTGCAAGAACACTTGGCATCCTGTGCATCCCCCAGACTAACTCGCAACCCATCAAAACATCAAAGTAAAAGCCTGCATCTATAATCTAGATAATTTACAACTTGTAATCCCCAGTGACTGGCAATATGAATTTGAATCAACAGGAAATAATGATGTCACATGACATGAAGTGACATCAGTGAGGGGAAAACTCACCACTCTGGGATATGGCACTCTTCCAAATGAATACAGCTCCCATAAAAGTATGCCATAACTCCAAACGTCAGATTTTGTTGAAAAATGCTAGAAATAACAAAGGAAGAAGAAAATAAAACAATTTGTAACAGAGATTAAATGTTAAAGGTCACTCTCAGAAGTGACTCCATGATTATCATCAGTCATACTAATTATACAGGAGCATGTCTGCATTCAACAGAATATCGCTAACATTAAAGAGCAATCGTCATACATTGAATATTTGCACATAAGTGGCTCAAATAATTTATAGGGTTCATAGTTTCAGCAATGAATGAATGGCTCAATAAAGTAATATTTCAATCAAGTAAAGATGCAATGAACAAATGAATCAATGAGTGACTTAATGAATGACAATGAATCACAAATTCGATGAATTACTCGGTGATGCGGTTGATTCAATGAATGGCGAAACAATGAAGATTCTTCAATTGAATCAATGAAGATTCTTCAATTGAATCAATGAAGATTCTTCAATTGAACCAATGAAGATTCTTCAATTGGATCAATGAAGATTCTTCAATTGGATCAATGAGTTAGCAGACCAGTGAGAGGGTGGATTAATGAAGGAACAATCAAATGAATGAATGATTCAATAGTAGAGCATCTCAATGAAGAAGGGTTTATGGAAGTTGTTACTGGTTGATAGCAAACACAAATGAATAATGTTAGGACATGACTTACTCCTTTTCTGAGTGCCTCAGGAGCAGTCCATTTGATTGGTACTTTGCCGCCATCCACAATATAAGACTCTTCATGGGCGAGGCCAAAATCAGAAACTTTAGCTAAACCAGCATCTGAGATTAGAACATTCCTTGCTGCCAAGTCACGATGGACCAATGACCTGCTTTCTAGAAATCCCATTCCATCACACACATTACTGAAATAGAAATACAATGAGTGACTATGAACTTCACACTAATAGCCTACTTAGGATGCACACATTGTTAATTACAATGAAATGAACCTAGAACAAGGTGGTCATTGCATCACAGCCAGCATCTTTGAACACAAAAACAGAAAACCTGCATAATTTACTTTTAGGATCTTAAAAACCCAGCCATTTTTTCTTGCAATTTACTATGAATATGAAACATCTCATCCAAAAATAGAAAAAAAAATACGTACCTGGAAAAGCGAAGTAATTCCTTAGTTTGTATAACAGCCCTACCTCTGGAACGTAAATAATCTACAAGACACCCCTGAATGAGAAAGACAAAATCCAAAGATTACTATCAACATGATGCATCGATTTATCGCAATGAAAATTCACAAATGACATCACCTTCACAACTAAAAGATGTGAAAACTCAACAGATGATGTCATTTATATAATGTACTTTGCCACGGTTCACGAGATAAGCATGATGACTCATACAACCTTTGAATGTTATTGAAAATACGCAGCACAACAAAATATTAGAATGCTGCTTGTATAGAAATATAGAAGTATCTCTAGTTTCTATTTTTTTCGGACATGATTACCTTTCCCATATATTCTAAGACAATATAAACTGGATCGCCTAGTGCT